AGAGCTCCAAGCTGACTGCACATGCATCTCACTTCAGATAAGCTGTACTTTGGTGGCAAGTTCTTCCAGCCAATACGGACATTTCCTTTTTTTCTCAGAAGTTACTCTAACCACAATATAGTATGGATAAGGCCACATCAAAAGAAGTCAATTGACAACTGACAAAGCAGCTGGGTTTGAGTGTTTACATATCTTTTTTGGTGTTTTAGGTACAAATGGGAAATGGAATGGCTTTCTTTCAGCAGAACAGCCCAAAGACAAATATTATACACACTCAGATCCTGCAGCAGCTCCTGGTCACTGGGATCTAGCCAGTGCTTAAGTTACCCTCTGGGGTACATCCTTCACAAGTCACACCATGGACACTGGTGACTAGTTCTGGTGAACCAAAATTTTAGTTCCTTAGGCTACAGGAATGGTTTCCTGGAATTTCCATTCAAAATGTTATGAAGAAGTTGACTGTGAAATTTATTTTTCCCTTTTCTTTAAGAGGTTCTTATTCAACCAGTTCTGACTCCAAAAAAATCCTTAGATCTAAAAAAGCCTGATAACAAACTTGTCATTTCTTTTTTTGGCTGAATAATGTGCCAAGTTTACTCAAAGCAGGGTCATTATGTAAAAACTTGGTTATTAAACACTGAAAAGAAGGCTGTAAAATCATCTATCTAGAAACTGGTGATCTGAGCACCAACTGTATAAATATTTTTATAAAAAACAGTATAAAAATTAGTACCCTGTCTCATCTCTAGAAAACATGAGTGGAAAGGTTGTAAAAAAAACCAGATTTTATAAACTTTATTGCCAAAATGTTTGTTTTAAATGCTGGTGATTTAGATTATCAAATTTTCTTCCATTTCCTGGGGAAAAAAAAAAAAAATTCCGAAACTACAAAAGATATTGAACAGGGTCCCAACCAGAAAGAAAAGTTAACATACTTTCAATAAACCAGCTCCCCATCCTTCCCTAGCCTCTTTCTCTTTTTTTTGGAGAGGAACCCATCAGTTCCATTCCTAAAAAGAGGCTTTTAAAATGCCACAGGTAATGGCCTCCCCAACCTTTCAGGCGGAGGCCTGCGTGGTTGTGCGTGGGCTCCCAGGGCTCTCTGCTGAGGCACTCCTGTTCAGTTTGCCAACCTCTGCCTGCCAGCCTGGGATCTTCTTGGTAGTCATGTGGCGCCGGGCATGCTTGGTCAGGTGGTCGCTGCGCATGAAACGCCGGTCACACACTGGGCACATGAACTTCTTCTCCCCTGTGTGTGTTCTGCGGTGGCGAGACAGCTCATCTGAACGAGCAAACTTTTTATCACATCCATCCCAGCTGCAGGTAAAAGGCTTTTCCCCTAAGAGGCGTGAAAACATATGGAAGAAAAAGTAAATGCTTAGCAACTTGTAGATACATTAGTGCAGGTCATTTTATTTTATTTTTTTGTCTTTTTTCATGACCAGTAAGGGGATCGCAACCCTTGGCTTGGTGTCGTCTGCACCGTGCTCAGCCAGTGAGCGCACCGGCCATTCCTATATAGGACCCGAACCCGCGGCGGGAGCATTGCTGCGCTCCCAGTGCCGCACTCTCCCGAGTGCGCCACGGGGTTGGCCCAGTGCAGGTCGTTTTAAAATTTAGTTCGCCAAAATCTCCAGAAGAGTAAAGTAATATCCTATTATTCTGGGATTGGGTGATTAAGAAATCAAGTTCTCCAAAATGCATTTCTTTCTGACACACGTAAGATGTAATATGTCAGGGTCTGAGGACATCAAGCTAATCTATCTTTCAAAAGAAATTTTTAAATACAGGGGCCAGCCCGTGGCTCACTTGGGAGAGTGCGGTGCTGATAACATCAAGGCCATGGGTTCAGATCCCTATATAGGGATGGCCGGTTAGCTCACTTGGAGAGCGTGGTGCTGACAACACCCTTTACCAGTCATTTTTTTTAAAAAAAAGAAAAGAAATTTTTAAATACAAATCTAGCATCTAGCTTGAGGTAGGGGGGAGATTTTCTTTTTTTTTTTTTTTAAAGACAACTGGTAAGGGGATCTTAACCCTTGACTTGGTGTTGTCAGCACCACGCTCTCCAAGTGAGCTAACTGGCCATCACTATATAGGGATCTGAACCCATGGCCTTGGTGTTATCAGCACCACAGTCTCCCAAGTGAGCCATAGGCAAACCCCAAGATTCTTGAAAAGAAAATTTTTGTTCCTCTCAAGATAAACTGCACATCCAAAAAATCCCTCCCAGGACCTATATGACTTCTCAGAACCACTAATCACATCTTCATATTTCTTATTACCCTGACAAACGAAATGGAGGGCTAGAATTCTTTTTTTTTTTTTTTTTTTTTTAAA